AACAATTCTATAAGCTTTTCAACAGAAGTATTGAGAAGTTGATAACAAAAAAAGACGTCTAACAGAAAGTCTGATAATGCAGCATAACTATTAAAAAACTGCTTCTAATTGGTTTTTATTTCTTTTATTAGAATTTGTGGTAGGTATTTAAGTTTTTAGCTCTGTTATTTTATTGTAAGAACAGTTTTGAACAATGTCTACCAGTTAAAAAAATTAATTGAAAGTCACAATATTGAAGTAATTAACTTAATAGTTGACTGTTTATAAGGAAAAAGGAAATAAAGATGGTTTTTTAACAACAAAGCATTATTTCAGGCACCACTTGTCGAAGTATTGGTGTTTAGCCGTGAATGTGGTGCATTGGTTTTGAGTCCTTGCCGTATTCAACCAACAATTGAGGAAAGGAAATACCTTTACCACTGGTTCGTTCTACCTTTATCTGCTATACGTGGATAACTTTTTTCATCATCTGATGTCTTCAGAAATTTTTTGAACAATTTCATTTACAATTTCACCGTTTAGGGACAACGTTGAAAGAAGACCAAAAAATACGAGTTTTGGGAATCGGCTTAAGAAATGTAATCAGGGAACGTCTGGTAACAGTTGCGAAAAGTCGGAAAACCCAGAAAGCCCAACCACTGTTAGTAACGGCGACCTGAACGGAAATGTTCCATCTGAAATTATAGGTATTGTTAGTTTTTTTTCGGTATAATTATGATGCCGTTTTTTTCTATTTTGGGTTGATAGCACGGTTTTTAGCTGCTCAGTATATTATGAAACTTATTGACTAAACTTACTAAGTGAAATGAGATAAAAATTTTCTTTAGTAAATTTAGATTGTTTCAATTAGAAAGTTTCTTAAAACCGTTATTTTTTTTTAAATTCTTTTGTCTTATTTTTGTAATCACAGGAAGTGGCGGATTTGGAACTGTGTTTGTGAGCAAATACAATCACAAAAAAGTGGCAATAAAACAACTGCATTATAGACGTCATTCTTCTTCTGAGGATTTTTGGTCTTTATGTGCTGAATTAAACGCATTTCGGCTACCTCGTTCACCAAATATAGCGACAGTTCTATCTTTTATATCGTCTGATTCCAAGATGCAGGTGAGGAGTTCGTTTCGAAGGTTTATCTTGTCTGTTTATTTATTTTTCGCTAAATAATTCAAACAACTTTAACTTGCTTTAGAGAATACAATTTCATTTGTTTTAACTTTTTAGTAGCAAGAAATAACAGGTTTTGGTATGCTTTTTTTTCCACTTGTAGCTGGGGCATTCAACTATTCTTTTAAGATTGTTACCGAATTCGTGTGCGGACGAGATCTTCAAAAAATGATCGACGATGATCAGTGGATTATACATACCAAAGAAAGAAAAGCGATTGCTTATCAAGTGGATATTTTTTTATCTGAGCAAAAATGATATTTAACGAACATTTCCTATAATTTATTAGGTCAAAGAGAGAAGCAAAGAAACATGGTTTTTTGAACTTATTTGCTTTTCTTTATCTTTCCAGCTTAGTTCTTTTGTTTTTTATAATTTAGCTGACATTATAGTGAGGTCTTGCATATTATCTATGTAACTGTTAGATATACTGTGAATGGATATTACTTTTATTTAGATAGCAAGTGGTTTAGCGCATTGTCATTCGCATCGTCTACTGCATCTCGATGTAAAACCGTCAAATGTACTGTTATCAGAAGACTTGGAAACATGTAAGCTAACAGACTTTGGTTGTTCAAGAGTTGCGACAGAAGTTTCGTGCGGTTTACTGATTGCACCAAATTCTACCAATACTTCCAGTTTTGGCACTATCGCTTTTAAAGCGCCTGAACTGTTAAAGGTATTGTTTTGTTGTTGTTTTACTAAAAATCCAGTCACCGAAGAAGTGTACAAAAGTTTTAAGAGTGGCCGGCCAACAGATCGAGCAGATATTTATTCATACTCGTTGTTGCTGTATGAACTTCTGTCAAGACATGCTCCATACCAAGGTCTTCATCCGCACACAATAATTTTCTTAGTTGCCGGCCAAAATATGCGTCCTGAATTAGACGAGGTCAAGCAGAAACTTGTAAAAGAAGGTATTTTTTCTTTAGAGCTAACTAACCTGTTATTATCAAGACTTTCAGTTTGAGTATAAAAAAGTGCGACAATTTCAGACAAAATTTAGAGACATTCAGTGATAGACCTAAAGTTTAATTAACTTGTTATGAACAAAATTAGTGGAGCGATTGCAGCTAATTTTCTGATAGTTAACATTTTAATTTTAAATGCTGTTTAACAGTGTAATTAATTGTCTCGTAGCGCTATTGAATTTTCGTTGAAGGAGCAACTGAAGCCGATTTTTCAATTTTGGAATTGATCAAGAAATGTTGGGCTTCAAATCACGCTAGTCGTCCAAGTGCTGTTGATGTTTGCGAGCTTATAGGAGCTCTTTCTTAGTAACCGAGAAAGGCCTAGCTGAACAGTTTCTATCTGATGCATCAAAGACTGAGTGGTGCAATAGCGTAAAACCAAAATAGAATTTTCGTTTAGAAGATTTTTTATTTAGTAATAATTAGAGTTTTAGTAGTAACGATATTATTGATAACAATGTTAGTAACAGTAATAATAATAATAA